TAAAMACCCCATCTACCCTACCAATTCCCTCACACAGCACAACAAACCCATCCTCCCTCCACCCGCCTATCCAGTATACTACTTCTTCTATGGAACCCTAACGTCCGCGATACAAGTTCAACGGATCCTCGACCTACCTGAGGAGCCACATCTCCGCAAAGCAGAAGTATCTGGCTACGCCATTGCTAAATGGGGCGATTATCCTGCCCTTATCAATGGGGAGCAAGGACAAGTGGTGACGGGGGCTTCGTACCTAGTGAAATCCGAGGAAGAGGCACAGATGCTAGCACGTTATGAGACGAATGTGTATGAAGTTACAGACTGCTGGATCTTTTTCAAGGATAGGGAGGAGCCGGACAAGGTTGTTGGGAAAGTTTTGTGTATGCCGGGGATGCGCAGGCGCTACTGGAACAACGGTTTGATCGGAAGCTTTGGGGGAAGCAGATGGGAGGGAATTTAGGGTTATAGATAAGAGTCTTATTTGATGGTATGGATTTGCTGTCTCTGCTACTCTCTTAACCAATTCCCACTACACATCTCAACTATACAACCTACAACAGAACCATCCCCAACCCTGCTACAACACCCGTAACAACATACGCACCCACCTGCCACGCCCCAATACTAATGATCGCACTTCCCTTTCCCAAACTCGCGCTTCCTACAGACCCAACAGCGCTTACACCGCCTGTCCCACTCGCACTGCTACTCCCCGCCGCCGTCCCGGTAGGCTTACTCGTGACCGTCCCCGTCCCCGCAGTCCCGGCCTCCTTCATCAACGCACTACACGTCCCCGTCGCCTTCACCGTAGCAGTCGTCGTCGCGGACCCGTCAAACCCACACGCATCTGCCTTCTTCCCCTGCTCTTTCCAGTACTTATCGAGAACGAAATTCAGCTGCTGCTTCGCACCGCACATGCTATACGCGCCATAGGTACCTGTCGTACCGTTATGGAAGATCCCATCGCAGGACGTGAATCCGCATACAGTGCTGAACAGGTCATCGTAGTCACTGGACGAGACGGAGTCTTTGACGACGCACCCGGAGGCGTTGTCCATGCAGGTGCAGAGTTCTTGGTTGGGGGTGGGTGGGAGCGGGGAGGATGTGGCCAGCCAGGACTTAGAAGTTACTGCTGGGCAGGATTGCAGGGCGGTGTTGGTGGGGGTGTAGGAGGCTTTGTTTGTGCCACTGGGTGTGGCGCTGGCGATTTGCGAGGAGTAGTAGGTGAAGTCGGCGAGTTTGGAGACGCTGGTGCTGTCGATGGCGGAGACGAGGCCTATACGTATGCCATTAGTGGATGGTGGTTGAAATGGAGATATAGAAGACGGGAAAGGCATACCGTAATCATTATCCGTCTGGAAATACATATATACAATGCCTCCGGACCAAACATCGTTCATCTGATCCCCAAATAGCGCCTTAATGTCCGTGAACTTCCTCGGCTGGACAGTATTGCACCCATACTCGGAGAAGAACACCGGCACGGAGTAATTTCTAAACTCCTCCGTGCGCTCGTCATACCCAGACTTGGTATAACTCGAATCCCCACACCACGAGTAGATATTATAGCCCCAGAAATCGATACTCTCGTCCTCACTCCCACAATTGAAGTAATCCGCCATATTGACCCGGATATCCGAGTCATCGTTAGTCGCGTACCCAACACCAATGGACCGGTACCCCTGGCTCTTGATGTAAGCTTTCATGTCGCGGACGGCGGCTTTGACGAAGGCGCTGGCGTCCGTGGTGGCGACGTCATTGGAGACTTCGTTTCCGGCAAAGAAAGCCAAGGTGTTGTTGTACTGGATGAGCTCGTCGATGACGTTCGTGTAGCGCGTGTAGAGGCTTGTCTCCCAGGTCGGGTCAGAGCGGTCGATGGATTGGGTTGGGTCGGAGAGGTCGGAGATCACGTAGATGCCGGCGGCGGCGAGCAGGTTCATGCATGTGGTGTGGTCTTTTGTGGGGTCGATAGCGTAGACGCGGATTACGTTGGTGTTGAGTTCTTGAAGAATGGGGATGTCGCGCTTGCAGAGGGTCGGGTTGGCGAGGGGGTCGGTGTAGCCGGAGGATGAGTTGCCGGTATAGTCATCTATGATGAGTTAGATGGGTGTGGGTTTGAGTCGTAGGGGTTTGAGGGGCTTGCCTTGGTAGGCGACACCGCGGATATAGCTGGTATGGTTAGCGTTATTGAATAGGATCTATGGGTGTATGGAAGAGTACAATTGGGTGTTGTTACTGCTGTAGAAGAATTTGGATCCCTGCAATGTCGTTAGTTCCGATGCTAAACATTTCAGCTGAGCTGGTCTACCTTGATGACGATGGGATCAATATCCACTGCCAGAGCAGATCCCATCAGGGCTGCCCCAACAGCCAGAGACAGCTTCATGGTAGCCAACAAACAAAGTGAACGTATAAAAGAGCGACTAGTATCAAACGAGCGACTATAACGATCAAATTCCAACTTCAACACCCCCCGGCTCCCACCAGACATTTAAACAACAACCCAATTCTCCCTCCTTTCCACCCGTTACTCAGTAACCCCGTAACCTATGCCCCTTCCATCTTCCTCGAACATGCCAAGATCAGCCAAGTATAGTTGCCTGGAAACTTATATCTTCAGCCAAGCGAAGAAGACCTATACGGTGAGTAGGAGTGGCAATTGAGTGGGACATTATCCCAAAGCATGCTGTAGTGGCGGATAGCGTCTTGGTGAAGTGGATGCTTATATCCGGATAGAGGCAAGCAGTGGGTCGGAGGCCGAGGACCGGATAAAGTATATATACGGCCAAGCCTTCGCCTGCTGGTCGGCCAGTCAATACGGGCGTGCCAAGAGAGGTTAGAGCTGCGAGGGCGTAGTTTGTTTCTCTGGAAGCGAGGATATCCTTGGAACGAGGTGCGATGCAATTCAGTAGTGTCGATCGGTGTGAACTGCAGTTAGTTTTGATTGGGAATACCGGGTGTCGGTAAACCCCAGATGGAGGAGTATGAAATAAGAGATCGACAAGGTAACATTCCAGAAGCATACCCAGTGAAGTAATGTACACGCTCAATCAAATCAAACTCATATCCATGTCCATGTCCATATCCATACGTCGTCCAGCGCCGAACCCAAACATAATCACAAGAAATCGAACATCATTCGCAGTATATTCACACGCCAAGTCTCATCTTACATGGCCTCACGACGACGGCGCTCGATGGCTGCCTCAAACGATCGAATGGTGTCCAGCGGCCGCTCGAATCGGTAACGGGTAGGGTTGGACAAGTCGGGTTCAGCTGCGCAAAGACATGCAAGTTAGCCATAGTCCTTTATCTCTTACTGCTGATAGCTGATGAGATGACAGTGTGGTGGAAACATACTGATGATTTTGCCCTCACGGTCGCGATGCTGCATTGAGCGTAGAGAGAATCCACTCGATCCAACGCTGTACACTGTTTACCACATTAGCAAGGAATCAGACCAACCACTGCTTTGATTCACATACCAGCCTCTTCACCTCTCAACGCCTGGTTCGGGTCCGACTTGCTGGACAGGGAACTCTTTCCATGTGAGTGACCCGTCTCGGGCCGGTCACCGTTAACCGGGGGAGCAGGAGGAGCAGCAGCAGACATTGTGATGTGATAGGATGGGAATAAGTTTTCTCTCGTGTTGATAGATGGCTAAGATCTTGGCCAGAAAAGAAGGAACCACGGATAAGATATAAGAAGGAATCTAGGTACAGATGACAGATGAGAAAAGGTGGAGTGAGTCGGGAAGTTGGAAGGGAAGACACATGCCAGACGGGGACCTATAAATGAAAGAAGCAGCCCGGCTGCATAAAAAAAGGTCAGCATGGGCGACTGAGTTTGGAAGCTGACCTGCAGCATCACGCAAGACCAGCCAATGATGGGCATGAGGTTGCGAGCCTCGTTGCCTTTCCAGCCGGGTCTGTGACGCGGCCGACCGGGCTGGGATGGAAGGACGGGCAGAGGGGAAGGCAATGGAAGCAGGTCCGTGACGTTAGCAGGCCCCCACCCTCCTTGGAGGAATTAGAGGAATATGATTGGCTCAGTAACTTGCCAAGCTTCCACTACTGCACAAAACCCAAGGCTTATCCGGGGTTTCAGCCAATGGAAGGCCTGTTGGGCCGCGCAATCACGGGGGCTGAGGCCGTGGCAATTGCTATTCTAGGCAGCCAGATTTGCATCCGCGATTGGCTCCAACGTTGCTGTTCCTGGCAGGTTGAAATGGGTGATGACGCTTTGAGGCCGCACATCATCAGGGGCCGCCCCAAATTCTGTCAAGGGTCTCGCTCGATCCGGCATGCCCGTGCCTGATGCAGTGTTTCATCGTCTGGAATGTACGCAAAGGTCGTGTTGCGGTCGCCAAGCCCGCCGGTCTAGAACCACGACTCGGTCGGAATAGGTTTTATCAGATGTCATGTCTGCACGTACTGAAGTAATGAATCAAATCTGGGTATGAGTTGTCTCTCTCTCTCTCCACTGCATCCCCAACTACTCTTGGCGGCCCATCATTGCCGCATGGCACTAACACACGGCACGTCGCCTGGAATTACTCATAGCCACCTTGTCATGGTGACATCTGAAACACGGTCGCGCCTGTTGATCCGCGAGTCCCGCTTAGCGATCACCTCGGCTCGTGAACGACGGGGGCCCCAGGATCAGGGGCTCGCCTTGTTATGGCCCGTGTTGGCTGTGTCGTACTCGTAACGGTTCCTGGCTGAGACGCTGTTTCACCGAGTAAAAATAGACAAACTTACTCAAAAATCAGGCGACAAATCGATATCCTCGGCATTGTTAATTGTTGCTCTGATCGCCATTTTAGTGCGGTTGATATGTCTAAGAGCAGCTCAGCCATGAGTGATAAATATAGAACATGATCCTGCTTAACGATCAGGATATAGAAACTTCCGTGCGAGCATCCACGATAGGCAGCACAGCGTGCTGTGGAAATCCCATCGGATAAATTTTCAGAAGGATCAATGAGACTGTCTCAGAGGAGGGAAATAAGATTTCCGAAGCACAGTTTAATGCAGGCTGTCGGTTCCTCGCATTCCCGGTGTGCTTATTTTCTGCACAAGCATTAAGCATTGCTAATTGTTTGGCCCCATAGGGATGAAACTCGATACCCCCAACTCCTTGGTTGATGGAGCGTTCAATGTCAACGTCAGCTGTGCGTTCGTCCAGAAAGGTGGGTCAAAGATAAAGTAGTTGGATTTAAGCGTCCATTTCCATTGATCATCGGAATTGACTTCCACATGAAGCAGCTGTGTAGTTCAATCTGCAGGAATAATTTAACTGACGTGCGATAGCACGAGGTTGACACTTCCCCTGTGGTACGTAAGCTGCTCCGTCAACCTTGTTTCATGAATACACGCTGAAGTGGTGTGGAGTCAAACTGAGTGTGTTCTGCTGGGTTTACAATGAACCACGGAAACATACATAGTTTGTTCTACTCTGCTGTTCCCGTGCTGGGCTCACATAGGTGTGGTTCATTGTTTGGATAACCTTCTTTAAGCTTACATGTGAGCCATGTTTTCCATCATCCCATAGAATGGAACCAGAACCACCAGAGGCTCGGTATGAATATGGCAAGGATTATCTAATTCAATAGATCATGATTTGTCATGGATGAAAAGTCTTTGCAGACTTACACCTTGCCAATGCGATCGAAGATCCATTCGAGTTGTGGACATTTCGTGCTTCTCAGATATCGGGGGTATACGTATGTCTTCTCTGGCCCACAAGCGCCAACAATTCCAGTCGGTGTAAGTTTACGCTAGGATTCTAGGCGTACAAAAAAGTAGGGAAGAACTTTTCACTGTCTCCCTTCAAATTTCTGACATCTAAATATATATTCATTACGTCCTGCTCATCTACCAGCTGAATTTCTCGATATTAATATACAAATTGTTCAACATCTTGGCGTACTCTGGCTCAAATAGTCTAGCTAAAAATATTTTTTTATAGGCTTGAAGCCTTAGGCTGCTCTAAGTGAAAGGTTGTGCGCAGTTTCTGCCTTCTTTGGTCATGTAAAGTACGCATTTTATCTCACGAGTCGAGTTGCTGCCAGAAGGTAACTGAAGGAAAGCTCATCTACATCAGAAGGAATAAACATGCTATTCTCATTCAGAGCTATGTTCAAGATATAAATGGCACCAATAGTGAATTAAATCATATTATATATATTTCCTATTGAAGATAAATGGATCTAAGATTTCGTCCGGAGTTCGTAGAAACGCACACCTTATGGATGCACACTTAGGTGAAACCGCCCACAGGCATTAATATAACGTACAAAAGGACGTATTAGTGGAATTGCAAAAGAAAGTAGTGTGGACGCACAGAATAGTAACAATGGTGATACCTGGACGTATCCTATGGAACTAAATGGGAAGATATATATTTCCCCGTCAGGAGGATTAGGAAACAGGAAACGTTATTCCAAGGACACAATGGGCAGAAAAAGATATTGTGACACATGGACCGCATGTCTGGTGATTCTCAGCCAGTGTAAAATAAGTCAATGTTTAAACGTGCCCGCAGCTTTGCGAGGACTCGAGATTCTGTTGTAAGGCTTTGCATATCCTTGACCGGTGGTACCCTCTTTCTACATAGTTCTATATATCTTTGGTATGTAAAATTACAATAAGCTCCTTAAAGATAGATGAATGGTAGATCTACGGCGTGCATTGCCAGAATAGGCCGATCAAGGCAAGAGAGAAGAGGTAGCAGGCTGAAGGACAGCGGCTTTGATGCAGAAGATAGCTTGGCTACAATTGACAATCGAACAGAACCGTGCGACTTGATGGTTAGAATGTAGTCATTCCACTTTGCATAATTTCAAGGGACTTGACCAAGCAAGCACAATGACCTCTAGGAAGCTTCTCTAAAGTTGTACCATTTTATCGGGGATCTAGTCCCTCATGTCGCAGAGCGGAGCACTGACATTTATGCAATAGGGCAGCAACTCCGCTTCATACATGGTGTACGAGGTCCATCAAGTATACTCCGTTCATTTAGACACTGTATATTTCCTCTGGGCCATTGATTGGAAGAATACTGCTTCTTGCCCGCGGATGAGTCCACTGAGATTGAGCAACTTGCCTAGTCATCCTCAGACCAACATGACCTTTTCTGTGTTCGGATCGATAGTCGCAATTAGCAGGCTAACCAATTCACCAAGCTTTGTCGCTAACATGTCCAGGCACATCACATCACTTGAAATTCGCGATTGCTATCCCAGGTACGAAGTCAATGGATGTGCCATGTCAGGCCGTGCGTGCAGGTCGGGAACGAAAAGTGGATGAATTTCTGGTCTGAGTAATAGTGATTCCGAGATAGCATGGTGAACGGGAATATCTTTCTGCGTACTACTGCATCTTTACAAGATACATAGTTGCGCGATACGTGCCCATAACTGACAATATCGTCATCCTGTTGAGCCTGGCCTTGTGTTGATCGGTGACTCGAAGTTCGCGACGCAGACCACGTCAGGGAATTGAAAACCAGTATAGACTACGTTCGTGTAGCTGGATGGTGGATATGCAATGGCTTTTTCACTATATCGAAGCCCTGTATTCCTCCAAGCTGAAGGCTCTGCATTTGACTCGTGGATATTTGTCGAGAAGTCATGAGCGACAGTGGACTGCTAGATGTGTTGTTCCTCGGCGAATATGCCACGACTAAGCATGTATAATACCAAACCATGTCTTAGGATAACTGTTGGCAAATGTGAGCAACGCTTGGTCGAGGTCAAGAGTAAAATGCATGACTAGGCCACGGTCTATCCAACCAAGTACTCTATAATCACCATTACAAACAACATGGCTGGCAAGTATATATCGAAAGTGATATCAACCATCTTACGTACTACTGAAAACAGAAACAGGAAGCAAAACTCAATGTCAAGTAAAGATGTGGAGTACGGGGGCAGAAAGGCACCTGCCAAGCCCAAAAACCGGTGAACAACACAACAGACGTACTCTGCTAACCTCTCGTATTCAGAACAAGATCAGTGGACGCCAAGACTTCACTATACCCCGCGCGCGGTGCAGAGCACATACTCTAGTCTAGTCTACAACAGTCCCGTCACCATATCTCTCTGAACAAAAGAAAAGTGAGAGACCGGAAGAAGTCCGCGCCCGCGGCATGTCGAATCCTGCCGGCTGCAGCCTCCATCACAAAAGTCGAGCCCGCCAGTCCAGTCCAGTTGAGTCTCGTGACATGACCGGCAGATTTATCCTTGGCTAGTTGGACGAACAGACTGGGAGAGCGAAAGTACTGCATTATGGGTGTATGAATCCTTTGTGTGGATAAGCAGACATACGCGCACGGACGATGGGAGTTCTTGATTATTATTATTATTATTGTTATTAACTCCTGTTTCGTGCTTATGCTGCTGGCAGTCACCAGCACTATATTGATGTCTATCTAATCAGTATACAATTTTGTTCCATCCAATGGAAGACAACAAACGCAGCGAAAGGTGAGGTATCGGATGATAACTCTTCGAGGCTACGTAGTTAACTCACGTAGTGTTAACTCAACGAACCCCCGTTCAATGTTCACTCATCACACAATGTATCATGGGCTGTTAGTCACTCGCAGCTGCAGCATGCTTAACATGCAGTATCTGACCGTAATAAGCCGAGGGTGATATAGAGCCCAGCCCCAGCAGGGATGGGGGAAGGATTTGGTCGAACACGGGAAGGAAAGACAAAAGTCCGCCCAGACACCTGTTACCGCTTTGGGCAATGAGCGTCGCCCTGTTTTCCATCGGACGGTGTACACGATAGGAGTGTAGCGAGGGCAGAGAGAAACTCGAGCTACTGGCCCGTCTGTCTCCACAGGCTGTCAACCACATGGATTGGCTCTTGCAGAGAGAGACACGGGATACGAACCCTGCCGTCCGTCGAGGCTGGGCGGGGTGGGTGGTGTGGTTGAATGGTGGTTTCTTTGGGGAGGGTTTGTTTGTTCGGAGAATGTCATACGACTCACTGTGTACTGGGGTTTGAGCTTTGTTCAAAAGGGTAGGAGTTTACGCAGTATCTCGACTAGCTTCTTGTCTGTAAGTCTTGGGTTTCACACGCTTGAATTGAATCCCTGGCGGTTCGTCGGGTGACGTGGCATACGCTCAGTGATTGACCGCTGGGTGATCGGATAGTCTAAATCGATGGATCCATGGATCCCGGCGATACTCCTGAGCAACTGCCGACAGCTACTTCTTGCTTTGCTTCTTTAACACGCATCCCTACTTCATCTTTGGATAAGTGCACAGAATGTACTATTGCCAGCGTTAGTGGTGTAACGGTAACATTCAACCCTTCCATGATTCACAGATCGTGAGGTTGGGCCCTGGGTTCGACTCCCAGCTAACGCATACAAAATTTCCTTTTTTTATTTTTATTTTTGTTTCTTTCATCGCAAACGCCGATATGTGCCTAATATGCGTGATGAATTAGTCTGGGATGCAACCAGCTGCACAACATGTACAGTTGGCCGACTGGTTCGTGGGGTGCGGGTAAGCTGGACGATCGTCGTCCAACCAAGGAACCAGCAGCATCCCTTGCTGGTCTCTTTCCTCATTCGACTTTTTTGTTGCGCTCCGTAGGTGAGTGGCACGAGTTGTCACCTGCACGTCTTTTGATAATGAGGTTTGCCAGCAATTTGTTCTTGAAATTGCGCTCAGGGGCATAGAGACTGATGTAACGGGTCAGAAGGTTATTACTATGAACTGCTGTCATCTATTCGCGCTTTAGAAGAGCTCAATTTACTCATGTGATCCCGAGCACATACCATTAGAAATAAACATATCACTGCCGTTGTACTATAAAGGCTTTCAAGGGCTAGCGGGTTTAAATTAGGCGTACCGTTCTGGAACGGCGCCAATGCCGGCCATTGAATACAGTATTACTACTGGTGGATGAGATAGTAGAGCCGGTAGAATCTCCGACTTCTTTGCGCAATACGTTGCATGTCGTTGACGCGACAAGTCAGGCAACACCCTTGGCGAGAAATGTGCCGGAAGCTGTACTGCTCTTACCTGATGAGCGGCGTGTTCACACAGATGAGGACGCGCCTTTGACTTCGGGGCAATGACTTGATGGAGCATCCAGGCTGTGCACAATTATACCTCAGTGAATTATTGAAATGGGGAGAATCCTCTGAAGAGGTCCAATCAGCTGATGACGTGATGCAGTGGTTTTAAGTCCAGCCCGCAAATGAAGGTATATTAACCGATGTTAAGGTCATGGCCCATCACGATCAATGGTTCGGGCCGTTTCCCGTCATTGATAAAGAGACTGCCGGTGAAGTGCCAGCAAACACCTGTGGCTGGCCATCATGTCTCTTATATGATCTGGGAGTGCAAACGAAGAGCTGCGATGCAGCTTAATCCTTAGAGGTAATGAAACTCGAAAGAGATGAACTGAGAGCAAGGGTGCCATTGCGTGACCCCGAGCGGTCGAGGAGGATCATGACTTAACGTGTGACTGAATACCCAGCCAGCACAATGCCGAATTAGGCAAGAGCGATCCCTGGTCGTTTGCTGAGCTACTTTGTATGTGGCCATATTAACCTCACATAGACTCTTTTTGCGCTTATTTCTCACGAAGTAACGGGGAGAGTCGGTTCGGCCTTCGGGCGGGGAGGGTTCGGAGGTACTTTGTAGCTAGCACGAAAGTACTAAACCAGTGGTCCATCCATCTCCGCCAAATCAAGATTCATTTGACCATATGCGCCTGGTAAAAATTAGCACGCAGAATTCTTAGCGCGCGGAAAATAAACCGGCACCGGTGGCGATTGCTGAAAAACTAGACAACGTCATGACTGACGTGGAATTGTTCTTCTCTTCGATCGGAAAACATTTCCAGTCGTTCAGCATGACTTGTGGATGCATCGTGAACCATGTGCGATCGTCTACTTCCTGGCCTGTTGACGTTTGGAAACCCGGGAACCGTCGATAGCATATAGAGGCGAATTGGAAAATCGAGGCCCCAATGATGACATTGTCATGCCACTGTTGCAGGGTAACAGCACGAGTAGTCTTCTAGGCCGATCACAGACAGGGTGGTAATGCGGTTACTCAAAACGTAGACTCGCAGCCATAACGGTGAAGGATTGTAGAGCATGGGACGAGCCGACGGAAGTGGAACCCAGCTGCTAAGCCTGAAGAATCGACGGTGACATGGCGAAACCGACGGACGGCACGAAGAAGGTCTCAAGGCAGGCTCATTGGCGAGAATCCGGTTCTAGTGGAGTGGAGGCATGGAGGCAACTCCACAGCCGCTGGAGGGTCTGAGGGGCCAGGTGGACAACAGGGTTTTTCTATTATTCAAGAAGAAGAGAAATGGAAAATCATGGTCAAGAGGGAGAATTATTGATCATCCAGGGGGCGAGGAATGGATCACCGACGCAGGGTGGTTAGAAAAGCAAGGCATACGAAGGCAGCCGAGGGGGGTTGGAGCTGGATAGTTATATCTAATAGTTTTCTACTAGTTCCCCCATAAGAGAAGAGTGATGTGCGCGATCCATCGAATTTGCTGCCCGCCACTCTTGCCTCCATTCGGCCGACGTGAATGGACTCCCGATCGTGGTAGCAGCGACGGATGGCCGTGCGGTCGACTAAACCCGATGAAGGGATTGTAGAAGCTGCGTGGAGAGCTGGCACTGGCAGGGAACAAGTACTGTAGTAGTACTTGTGTATGCACGATGCAGAAGCACCAGGAGAAACTTGCCTCCGAGAGACGACTTGCCCTTTCAAGATTCTTCAGGAATTGACGTGGTTCTTTAGCCCGAGGGTCATGGCACATGGCAAGAAAATAGACTCTGGGCAAAAGGACTGGGTCCGCTGAAGCTGCAATGGCGATTCGTTGCAGAGGAGTGTGCAGAACAGTCGACCAGTGTCGATCCAGTCCAGGTGTAGTAGGGATGATGATCGATGCTGTCTTTGATCTGTTTTTTTCTTCTCTGTGCGGGACTTTTACCCATTTTGTTATGGGGGGGAGGAGCCATCGATGTCGGCTACTCATTAGTGCGGATAGCCATGTGTTTTGTACCTCCTTTTCTTCACACTGCTTCGGGGAGGTTTGGGAGACTCGTGAGATGCATGCATGGAGTAAAATCAACTGCAATGTGTTCCTATATATATATTGATAAATAGAGGATGAGAAATCGAGATTATCAAACAATAAGCCCATAAGCCATGTAGATAGTAATATTCCATAAATTCATGGTGCAAAGAATGCCCCGTACAAAGTATAGATGCAGGCGGAAAACCATCCGGCTGCCCCCGATAGGCGGACCAGGTCAAGTTAGTGGGAAAAGGGATAGTCAGTCCTGCTCCAACCGAACGGACCAACAGTATCTGCTTGTTCTGCTGCATCCCGTAAGCGACCGGCCAGTCAACCAAAGGACCCTCCCTGAACGGGGTCAACCGATGAGTGAAGCCCGAGAGATAGTCCTCTCGGGCACTACTGTACACACGACTAGTACTACTGCTAAGTACTACTACATGCCCTGGACCCCGGTGGACGAATGGTTGGGGGTTAAAACGGTCATTGCGCATGGATTTTTTGTCCAGCTTGACCTCGGGCCCTGTTCATCGCTTCTTTAATCTAAAGGTGTTGGCTGCAGGCACGCCCTTTTTTTGTTTTTTTGGTTCTTTTTTTTTTACCTACCATTTATTTCTTTCACCACCTATTTTCATCCATTGAAATATCATTCTTGTCTTTCTCCTCCCTCGAATGTTCTGCTCCCTTCCCAGTATCTCACCACTGCATATCCCACCACTTACGAGTCAAGTCAGACCTTAAATCCCTACTACTTACTGTACTGGGTAAAGGACTCCTTTCCACCCCCGGTCACAAATTGGGTCTCCGCGGTGCTAATCTCGATCTGATCGTGCGGTGGGAATAGAATAGTCTGCCCGGTACTTCTTCCTTGTTTTCTCGTCGCTTCTACTACTAGTCAGTCTAGCCCTGGGGGGCGCAAAAAAAGAACTTCCATCAGGCCCCCTCTTCTCCCCTTTTTGTTGTGTTCTGGAAACTCGCATTGGTTTCGTTGTTCGACCAATCTTATTTTTATTTTAAGAAGAGAGGGTGGTGATTGATTTCTGGGGATTGAAGCTAGTGGGGGGATCCGATCACCGTTGCTTATTATTACGATATCATTAGCGACTCGACTCTCTTAACTTTTTTCCCATCCCTTCCCGCATCGCCCGCCCGTCATCGCCTCTGCTCACTCACCATGTGTTCCGACCGCGCTCCTCCCCCGGACTCCAGCGTCATTGAACCTGATGTGCGTATCCCCCTTCCATCATCACAATCAACCTTCAATTTGACTCTTGTCTCTCCTCTCTGCTCTTAAAACTTTGTTTTTCTCTTTCCCGCTAATCTCTCTCACCCCCCGCACCACTACAGAACTTCAGCGACAATGACTCCACCTATCCCGGCTCGTAAGTTCCTACCCGCGACCTACCCGACGTCTGGTTCCAACGGTTCGCGCTGACCGCAATCCAGGCTGGGCGATGCCAGCTACACCACCAGCATCACGTCCAGTGCGATGAACTATGCGTAGGTTCTCCCTGTCCCGTCACCCTTGCGACCACTAACCAATTCAGATATGAGGTATAGGACTCCGTCTCGCATCCACCCTCCGAGCCACGGCTAAGTGTCGCAGAACGGTCGCAGATACCATTCCTACCACGAGGGAGAATACGTCCTGGTATGCCCATTCGATCGACCGTGTCCCCATCGCCCCTACTGATCTCACAGCCCAATGATGAACAAGAACAAGATCGTCTCGACCTGGTTAGTGGCGCAGCGCATTCTGAGACCGACGGGCGAGTCCAGGGTTGACCGGAACAGAGCCACCACATCTATCGCATGCTCTTCAAGGGAGAGCTGAACCGAGCACCGATTAAGAATCCCGCGCGCGTACTAGACATTGGAACTGGCACGGGAATCTGGGCGATCGACTATGCCGAGTAAGCGGGGAGATGTGATCCCTCCGATCATGAATAACAACGCTAATGCGGGCTGGCAGCGAGCATCCCGAGGCAGAAGTGATCGGTACGATGAGCGACGCGACCACGGATGATGGATCACTGACAGGATGACGCAGGAAACGATCTCAGTCCCATTCAACCGTCCTGGTAGGTGTTGCCCGCTGCTGCTGTGGAGGTCCCCCCTCACTGACCGTGCAGGATTCCGCCGAATTGCCGATTCGAAGTCGATGATTTTGAGCAACCGTGGTCCTACAGCAAGCCCTTTGATTATATTCACGGTCGGGAGTTGGAGGGCTGCGTTCGCGATGTCGACAACCTCTTTCGGCAAGCACTCGAGAATCTGAAGCCCGGAGGATGGATGGAAATCGCCTCGATGGAGGTCAACACATACTCGGATGACGATACACATTTGCGGGCCAAAAATCTACTGGAGGGTATAGTGTATATGCATGACTGCGCTCGGGAGTATGGAAAGGACATGGCCAGTGTGCACACCTGGAAGGAAAAGATGGAAAAGGCCGGTTTTGTCAATGTCCGGGAAGAGATCTTCAAGGTAATATTCCCGACGCATTGTCCCTTCCGTTCATTCTGACGGTCGCAGCTCCCCCAAAGCCCCTGGCCGAAAGACCCCAAAATGAAAGATCTCGGTCGCTATCACCAAGTCAACATGTTCGAGGCGCTTGGCCCATACTGCTACGCGCTGTTCACGCGCGTGATGGGTTGGGAACGAACGGAGATCGAAGTGTTTGTGGCAGGCATGAAACAGGAGTTGCGCGACTTGAATAACCACTTGTACACGAAAGTGCACATCGTGTACGGACAAAAGCCGGAATGACATAAAGTGTGAGAGTCTCTGTTTTGTCTCTGGTGTCGGCTGTTTTGGCTATCGGGGCTTTTCTCCTTGATCATGTGATATGAGCCCATTCATTAAGCGTCTTTCCACGTCATGTCCAGTACTTATTATCATAATGCTTGTTGAATACGATGTAGGGGAACCTACAATGACCTATACTCTTTGCTTGATTGTTCAGGAAACATCACGATGATGTTTATACCCTATCCGATTGAACAAGTTATTTTTAGAAATATATTTATAAGTACTACTAGTAGGGCAATGCAGCACACACTGATACTAATACCACCCCTTCCTATTCAGCCTTGAATATCACACTATCTTTTTTTTGTCTTCATTCTTCCATTTCTATTTTCCCTCCCATAGAGGACATCTGATTTGCTGAATGCGTCAAGAGAAGTTTGGCATCAAAAATAGAAATTAATATAAATATAAGAACAGAAGCAGATATAACCCTTCTTTTTTACCAGCCCACTATTAGAACAAAGCATGTCGTGAAAACCACAATATCAAGATATGATACATCCCTGCCTAATGCCGTCATCATCATCACCGTCTCTCCCTCTGTTTCCGAATACGCATCAAAGCAAACACCCTACGCAACAACCCATCTACAAACGTTGACCGATTCAGAACCCCCTTTGCCAGTCTCACGCAAATCCCAACCAAGAGAGGAACCGATGCAACCAGGATCAATCGTCGATACATCTGACTGACTTGCGAGCTCGCAGTGTGTAACATCTTTGCCGCTGCAACAGTTTCCCGGTGATCTTTTCCCAGCGTGCTCTCGAAGCTCTGATACGCTTTCGAGTAGAGCTTTTTGGCTTCTCTCAAGCGACCTTTTTTGGTCTGTAGTCTGGCCATTTGGACTATGGCTCGTGCGGTGAAGAGATGATCCCATCCGAAGGCTGACTGTAAGGCGTTTAAGGTGGGGGTTATTATGGTCTCGGCCTGGGTTATGCTGGTCGCGCTGTCTTCGTCTAAGAGGAGGGCCACGACGTGGCATTGCGCTTGGAGTGTTGATGGGTGGTTAGGGCCGACGTTTGCTTTTAATGATTGGGTTATTTCAATATATCTTGCTTTCGCTTGGCTTAGGTCGCCGGCAGTGCGGAGACAGTTGGCGAGACTGAGGGATGTCTCTAGGTAGACGTGTGGTTTGCGCCGAATATCTTTCCTCGTTTGTCGAGGGCATATTGGAGTTGCTTTTTCGCCTCGTGAATTGCACCCCGCTCCAAGGATAATACACCAAGATTGTGAGTGACTTCGGCGATGAACGGATGGTCTGGATCGAGGAGCTCCTGGGCTTGAACTTGACTTTGTTTAAGGATCTCTTCTGCTTCGTCGAATCTGCCCAGGCCAATACAAACCATTCCTCGGTTGATTTGTGTCGCGAGAATGTGCTGGCGGTGACCTATCTTCTTCCATCCAGTTAAGGACTGTTCCATCAGCTTGTCTGCCTCTATGAACCGGCCTTGACAATATCGTAGGAAACCCAGGTTGTCAATTGCATCCAGGGTAGAAGGATGGTCAGAGCCGAACAACTTTTCCTTCTTTTTCTTGCATTGAAAGAGCGTATCCTCCGACGCTTGAAAGTTCCCCTGGTCGAAGTAGAGCAGTCCGAGGTTGTTCTCAACTTTCAGCGTGGTCGGATGGCTCTCACCCACCGCGTCTTTGTAGCCATCAAGGGCTCCTCTATACATCTGTCCAGCCTCGTCTCTCTTATCTTGTAACTTGTAGATATTGCCGAGATTGACCATGACAGATAACCTAGAGGTGTGAGTGGGGACTACAACCGCCTCATAGCCAGCCATGGCCTGAAGATAGTTGTTCTCGGCTTCCCGAAACATTCCTTGCGAATAGTACAAGTTACCCAGGTTGTTGAGTAGCCGTAAGGTGCTTATATGATTCGAACTAAGCATCCTGTTTGCTAGCTCCAGAGCTTCTTTGTATTCTCTCTCAGCATCATCAGTCTTGCCCTGTGAGACATACAGACGTGCTATATTGTCCTTGGTAGTTATGATCGAAGGGTGCTCTGCGCCGAGCACGCGCTTCCTGTGGGATAAAGCTTCGAAGAGATGTTTCTTGGCTTCGTCGAATTTGCCCTGTTTGGTATAGAGAAGACCCAGATTCTCCATGGCATTGAATACAGAGGGGTGGTTCTCTCCTAGGATTGCCTCAAGTTCCTTCACAACTTGAGTGTGGTACGCTGCGGCGTCTACAAAACGCCCCTGCTTCAAGTAGATGAGGCCGATATTGTTGGTGATATTCATCATCGCGGTTATTAGACGGTGCTTTCGGTAACCTTGATAAGCTCGCTGACAATAGTCCATAGCATCGTTCAGTTCTCCTAAGCCTAGATAGACTGTTCCTAGTTTATCCATCGTGCTCAGAGTTGATGGATGGCTTTGGCCCAGCATGCTTCTCCTTCCACTTAGCACTCTTTCATACATCTGCTTTGCCTTTTCTAGCATTCCTTGGCTCGAGTATAGTTCGGCGAGATGATAAGTGGTATCCAATGTAGACGGGTCTTCTGGGCCTACCCTGATTTGTTTGTCTGCCAACACCTTTTCGTGGATCTCTTCCGCCTCCTTGTATTTGGACTGGTTTCGATAGACGAGCCCCAGGCTATCAAGGGCTATAAGGAGCTCTCGGCTTAGAGGGTCCAGCTGCTGATACCAGTCGTGTGCTGTTTTATACATGACCTCTGCTTCCTGCAGCTTGCCGTATTGCAAGAACAAGTCTCCAAGTCTTCTGCTGGCATCTGCTAACCCGACACATGGCTCCATAGCCAGATCACCTTGCGACAATTGGTATATACGGTTAGCATGGGGTATAATACGCTTCTGCCATTTCCAAGCTTCTGAATCATCTTTTTCAGGAACAGAGACCAATCGAACTCAAAGCAATAGATACAAGCTCGTGTTTGTCGTAGTGAGCGAGATATCCTTGACACCAGTTCTGCACCACCGGATGCATGAAGTAACTATTTTGGGATGGCCTTCTATCCAGTAAGCCAAGGCGAAGAAGATAACCCATTACTTGATAAAATTCGTCATAGCTGGAGGCAACGCTGGTATACCACAAAGGCGAATTCCTTACTTGAAGGCCAGTTTTGATGAGTTCGGGCCAAATGTCCCGTTGGTCAAAACAGGAAAGCAAAAGCAGCATTTTGAAGACGATTGGACGACTCTTCTTGATCTCCTCAAAAGGAAGCATCCATGCTGTGCTTATGTTACGGCTGGAAGGTAGGTTATATTCTGGGATTTGTGGTTCATGTTTGTGCCACAGGCTTGAGTATTGCTGCAAGCAATCTGACACGGTGGCACCTGTCTCATTTATAAAAGATCCTGCTAAGGTGATAGCTAGAGGATGTCCGTCTAATCGATTGAGGAGGTCATAAATATCTGCAGTGAAATGTTAGCCTCCCCCTTTTCCACCGAACAATTCACGACACCCTACCTGATGGTATATTATCGCTAATTGGAAGGCCCGTTTTGCGCGTTAGGAGCTTCAGTGAATCATCAAAGTTAAGCGTTGAAAGGCGGTATGGGTGCCCATATTCTTGAGTATTAGCAAACTGTGTCGTGAGAAGAATTGAACCCTGGTCTGACTTCGGGAAGAACTTCTGGACCTCGGCTGAGTCAAGAGCCATTCCGTCAAACACCAGAAGCCACTTTGTATTTCCCCTCAGGCTCAGCCATGAAATAACATCCATGGCATTTCCTTCCAATTCCTCATCGTGGGTTGGGTGATCACTCGTGAGGGCGTCCGTAGATTGCGGTAAATGTACCGAAGCCAACGACTGTACTATGCTCTCGCGAGTGTGTGCGTTGACCCAAAATACTGCAGTGAAATCCTCCTTGTGACATTGAATGAATCGAAGAGCTAACTGGGTCTTGCCGATACCACTCAATCCGTGAAGTGTGACAATCTTTTGCGAGGTTGACGCATTCGGCAGCAGCAGCCTTGCCAGCTTCTCCAAGTCAGCATTTCTCCCAACGAAATTGCAAATGGCAGGTACACCGCTCAGGTTCATAGTGAGCGTAAAGCGGTTTTCTGAGACAAAGAATCGGTCAGTTGATACTAATTCCTGCTCTTTCAGTCAATACTATGGTGAGTTGCGTACCTATATAGGCATAAGGGGGAAGGACCGAAAGAAAATCTTTTGCATACGCTGCCGCTGCCGCCGCCGCGTACCCCTGCCAGTGCTTGTTCTTGTGCGTGTCAGAGTAATCGCATATGCCCCTGATCACTAGAGATGGGATTTCATTAACCATTCCCGCGGCCTCCATCTCAAAGCATAGAAGTTGTTCTTGCCTTGCCAACCTCTGCCGCATCTGAGCATCCTTTATGACCTGGTTCCCCGTCCCAACCACACCATAATGAACAATAGGCTCAGTCGAGGGCCGTTTTGAGCGTTCGATCACTTGTATCTGATCGCAGTTCGCACAAGTCCTTGCACCTCCCTTGTGGCTGTATAACGGTTTGAAAAGACGGTCCTGGTCCTGGCCAGGATGACGGAACAGTTCATTGCAATCCCCCAATTTCTGGAGAAATTCAGCAACTTTGGACCTCTTGTTCGTGTGGTTTGCCTGCAATTTGGAAAGTGCAGACAGTAGCACTGATGAAGGTGGATCCAACCTGCCTATGCGTTGAAAAACACCATCAACACTTTTGCCAAAGTCGTATTGCACCACTGCCGGATGAGTACTGGTGGGCTGCCCGATGACGATATCCCCAAGTCGGATGTCAGCATGAGGGGAGTCGGGTACACCGCCAGCAATTCCTACCAAGAGCCCGTACTGGATATTAGGAAAGGAGATCCTCATCCGTGATGCCGCGTTTGCGGCCGCGGCGATCCCATACTGCCCGGACGGGAGACAAGTTATTGCTACATTGTGACCCTGAATCTCACCTAACGTATATGTGTTTTCATCCCCGGGACTACCTCCTAATGAGTGATGTCTTTTGTCCAGCACGGCTTCTGCCGCGCTCCTTTCAAGTGAGAGAGCAGTGAGCCAGCCAAGGGTATAGTCATCGTGTGACTTGCGAATGCTAGTCATCTTTACAGGTGAGTGGTTTTTCCCTTCACACAAAATGGAGGCCAGCATGTGGGAGGCAAGAAATAGAGGTGGAACATAAGATAGCACTTGTCCCAGCCTCAAATTTGGGGGGAAATTTTGGGACGCGCCCAATGCGACGAGTTAGATCGCGGTCAATCAGTGCCTAGCGTCAGGCTAATGCATTGTGTCGCGGTTCGGAGATGCAAGACGACGTGTCGCGAACGATCGACATTAAAACACCAATCAATTAAGCATTTAATATTCAGCTCAGCTCAGGACATATTCTCACTGCACTCTGCCGGAGAAACCCCGTTTGCCTGACAGCCCCAACTGTCACTGGCGGTGCTGTTGTCTCTTTGCTATCTCAATTTTCTTGCCCTTCGTCAATTTCGGGTTGCTCTACACTCCATATGATTGGTTTAACACTCCCCTGCCAGTCCCAGTCATTCTCCGATGCCTCCAGCCTCTCCCCATTCGGTCTCACTACAATCAAAGCCCGTCGCGGAGATTCTTTAACAATGAAAAACGCCGTGTAATCTCCCGACTCGCCCGCTTCACTGATTATAAAGTCTTGATGCGTCGCGAAATTGGTGCCTGATACCTCCTTGTCTTCTCAACCTTAGTACAACCCTCAACCGGTGTCATAACAAAAAGCAGAAGAGGATTCCTTCTTCGCTATGGATGTTGAGCTTACCTGAGTAAACATTGTTCTGCAATTTCACCGTCATTTGGTGCAAACCCTTGTCCGTGTGCCAGTAAAACACAACAACCATCTCATCTGATACCCTCAGTACACCAAAAGGACTTCCCTCTTGCCTCCCACATGCTATAGGTTCCATGAGAGTCCATTTTCCTCCAGAGAGTCTGATGCCTTGCATGTTGCCAGTTATATTCTCGAAGAAGATGACTGCACCATTCCTAGTGCTACAGCCACCAAGCTCACGAGAATCTCCAATGGGCAATTTCACCGACTCCAACTCTGTCGTCTCTGGCTCGGGCTCTTGGTATTCCTCGGTCTCTGGAATAACCCAACTATACCAAGTTCTTTTGCTGTGAAGGATGCCCTGTGAATCGACATGGGACAACAGTTGCTGTAAACAGTCAGAGCATGGTCGAACAGAAAACGTCAGCAGAGCCTCGGGGGGCAAACGAGTTCTCTTTCACAATCACGCACCAAATTGCCCTCTTGCGCTACTTCCCTCACGAGGAGGAGAGGGGTATTCACTTCCTTCAATGTGGACTCAACTATTCCACTGAGACTCTCTGGCTCTCTAGGCCTGTCGGGATGAATGCAGTGGTTTGTATAGTACGACTGTTGTGTACATGAGCCCTGTGCCAGTAATTCATAAGCAACTGCGTGTGTTAGTGCCATCGTGCTTATGGTTGTAGAAGCTCTTTTGATTTTGGAGAAGAACGATCAGTGAATAAGTAGAGAAAAAAGACTTTAATCCAGAAAA